AATAAATAAAGAGGACTACATCAAACTAAAAAGCTTCTGCTCAGCAAAAGAAATGTCCACAACATAAAGAGACAACCATCAGAAAGGGAAAATATATTTGCAAGCAACGCCTCTGATAAAGGCCTAATATACAAAGAACTCATGCGACTCAATAACAACAAAAGAACAAACGATCCAATCAAGAAATGGCAGAGGACCTGAACAGACACTTCTCCTTAGAGGACACACAAATGGCCAACGAATACTTGAAAAGATGCTCAACATCGCTAGCTATTAGGGAAATGCAAATCAAAACCACAATGAGATACCATCTCACACCTGTTAGAATAGCTGTTATCAACAGGACAAGTAATTACAATTGTTGGAGAGGATGGGGAGAAAAAGGAACTCTCATATACTGCTGGTGGGGCTACGAATTGGTACGGCCACTGTGAAAAACCATATGGAGGTTCCTCAAAAAACTGAGTTGATCTACCATATGATCCAGCAATCCTTCTACTGGGTATTTACCTCAAAGACTTGAAAACTTATATCCAAAAAGATATTTGCACACCAATGTTCATGGCAGCATTATACACGGTGGCCAGGACATGGAAGTAATTGAAGTGTCCTACAATAGATGATTGGATAAAGAAGCTGTGGTTCATATATACAATGGAATATTACTCAGCCATAAGAAAAGATGAAATACTGCCATTTGTGACAACAAGGATGGAACTCGAGATAATCATGCTAAGCGAAATAAGCCAGACAGAATGAGTTGAAAATCACATGATATTGCTTATATGTGGTATATAAACCTAAAAGCAACAAAGGAACAGGACAAACAGAGATTCATGGACATGGACAATAGACTAGTAGTTACCAGAGGGGAGGGGGGAGGAGGGAGGGGAAGGTAGATGGCAGAAAAAAATTAAAATAATTTCTTCAATTAAAAAATAAATAAATAATTTTTAAAAATAAATAAAGAAGTAGGTCTATTACTATTTCTAATTTACAGATAAAGACACTGAGACACAGAAACTGGATCATTTGCACATGGTCACACAGCTAGCAAGTGGTGGAATTTGAATCCTAGCCTAGGTATGCTATCTGTGGCATCTTACTCCTCTGTACTGATCTATGATCAATGGACAGGTGGCAGACAAGTAGTATGGGACAGCAGTAAAGAGTATAAACCTCACAACAAGACACCTGGGTTCAAGGAACTTGTTTGCTATGTGACCTTGTGCTCTGAGCCTCATTTTTCTTATGTGTAAAACACAGATAATAATATGATAATAATAAAAACTACTTTATAGTTGTATTAGGCAAGTTAAGCAAGATAATAGTGATAAAGTCCTTGACATAGAGCCTAGAATAGGGGTCTCCAACCCCCAGACCATGGACTGGTACCTGTTGGTGGCCTGTTAAAACCCAGGCCACATAGCTGTAGGTGAGCACTGGTTGAGCTAGTGAAGCTTCATCTGTATTTGCAGCTGCTCCCCAGTGCTAGCATCACCATCTCAGCTCCACCTCAGATCATCAGGCATTAGATTCTCGCAGGAGCACCTGTCCCTGGTGCCAGAAAGGTTGGGGACTGCTGGCTCAGGACATAGTAAACAATCAGAAATGCTGTTATCATTATCATCATCATCATCACCATCATCATCGTCATCGTCGTCATCGTCGTTATTGTCGATGGATGGAAAGAGAAATAAGTTAAAAGCTTATGAGGGAAACACCACCCCATCCAAAAGAGGATCCAGAGCTTAGGTGGGATGACTGAATGGGTATCCCACACATTAATTTCTTCTTTGAGGCCTTCTCTTCTGGTCTATCTCTGGTTTTTCTCATAAGGATGGGAAATCACTTGTCCCCTCACCCATCTGTCAATTCCTTGAAATTTGGGAATTCGAATATGAGCTGGCCAGCCTTGTTCTTTAGAAATCCCCTCTTGGTTCCCAGGATTGAGAAGAGGGGAAAGATGAAGGGGACTATTTCAGGCCAGGCTCCCTCCAGATGTTCTATTGACCCAAGCTGGACATAGGAAAATGATAGAGAAAGGAGCAGAGCTCACTAAGCCTGGATGTTGAATCCCAGAGGCCTGACATGTGGGTGGCGGTGCTGGGCCTCCTTTCAAAGAACATTTCCTTTCAGCTCTGCTTGTCCCGAGGGACTGGTTCCTACATGATGGACAGGCAGGACTTGGGGGGCTATCCCACGCTCCATGCTTATTCTGAGGGCACCAGGGAGCCTTCTTTTCCACCAGCACCGGAGAAAAGAGAAGAACCACAGAGAACAGAGTGAGGATAGGGATAAACCTAGGGAAGGGGCAGAACTCCTTGCTCTGGCCCCCTAATTCTGACCATCACCCCTGAAGGCCAGCCCTATGGTTGATGATACAAATGCCACCAATGAGGTGATTGTGCATCTCAAAGGAATTGACAGAACAGCAGACTGTTTAGATTCTCAGAGCTGAAGCCAAGAAAGCAGAAAGGGGAAGCTGCTGAGGGGGAAAGAGGGAGAGCAAGGTCAGAAAAGGGGGGCAAAGGGGAATCCATGGAACAACTGTGGAGGGGAATTTCTGAGCAGGCAGGGATTGTGAAAGTTCTGGGATAATAAATAGGAGGCAGTCGGCAATTACAGCACATGGGCTTCCACACTGACATTCCTAGACTCCTTCACATGCAATAAGAACAGCTGTGCACTTTCCGCTCCTAGCCAAATCTCAGCTCCTGCACACGGCCAGAGACTCGCTCATACGCACACCCTCGCTGTCAGTCTGCTTCCCTTCACCTTCCATGGCACCCCGTGCAGCCACACTACTGGCCCTCAGCCTGCTGATTCTCTGGACCTCCCCTGGTAAGGCTGAAGGGAGGCTTGTGGGTGGGAGCAGGGCAGGGGTCGTCTAGATCTCAGACTGCTGGCACTGGACATGAGGGACACTGAGGTTAGGTCTGCATGGTTTAGTGAACCTGGGGGTGCCTTTTTCCCTGTGTGTGCCTGTGAGTGTGGATATATCTGGCTGGGCCCCTGAATTTCAATGTCTGTCTCTTAGTGTATCCTAGGGCCTCTGGATGCCTATCTCTCTGCAGGCTCTATTTCCTGCTGCTTCAGTTTCCAAGGCAGAAGGAGAGAACAATGTATATTTGCTTAAGGCGGGGAGAATTGGAGACACTGAGGCAGAGCCAATTGTCAAAATATTTAGCAATTTCTAAGCCTTCTAACCTAACCTCCTGCTAACCTGCCCCAGCGCCCTACTCTCGCCCCTTCCCTATCAAGTTAATGCTGTGACCAGCATTAGCTCTTCATTTGTGGGAAAGTTGAGAGGTCTCGGGAGAGAGGTTGGGGTGATCAAGACAGCAGAAAGGCATTTGTGAGGCTCAGGACAGTGCTTGTTTGTTTACCAAACAGCTTAGAAGCACTTCAAGATATTTAGCAACCAAGAGGGCCATATTGGTGCATACTGAATATCAGGTCTGGCTGCCGCCACACATACACAGGTGTTCTGAATCCCAGTTAGCGCTGTGGAACAAAGGTCCCTTTGTTCTGAAGCAACTTTCTTTCCTCTATCACCACACCAGCTCTGGGTGGTGCCAACGATGCAGAAGACTGCTGCCTGTCTGTGGCCTCACGCCCAATCCCGGGGAACATCGTGCGATCCTTTCGCTACCTTCTCATGAGGGATGGCTGCAGAGTGCCTGCCGTCGTGTGAGTTTTGGAAAGGAGTGCATCTAGCCTCCTCTTCCCTATCTACCCTCACTTTCTTATCTCCTCTCTCCTTGCCAAGCCCAGCCCTTTAAAGGAAGCCCCTGAAACAGGTTCTTAGATGTGGTTCCCAACCTTTGCCCATCATACGTAGTCCTGCCAGGAACTTGGGTTCCAGGGCTTCTTTCTCTCTAACCTCGGACTCCAGGTTTACCACAGCGAGGGGTCGCCAGCTCTGCGCACCCCCAGACCAGCCTTGGGTGGACCGCATCATCCAGAGACTGCAGAAGAACTCTGACAAGGCAAGCCCGCCACCTCCCCCCACCCCAGCTTTGCCTCCTCCCTCCGAGCCTCTGCCCAAGACCCCAGACTGTGACCTTGCCTCTCCTTCCTCCTACAGAACAGGCGCCACAGCAGTTAGCCCATGACAGCCTCAGAGGGAGCTCTGTATCTGACTGAAGGGATGTAAATCACTGTGACTCTGGGGAACCAAGGGCCAGAAGAGAGAACCAGGCCTCCAGCACCTGTGCACCAGACCTGACCCGGTCCGGGCAGGACCTGGAGTGCCGACGTGAGTGTGAATGAGTGTGAGTGTGAGCGAGAGGGTGAGTGTGGTGGGAGCACAGCTTCTCCTCCACAGCCAGACTGCAATGCTTCCAATAAAGTCCACTGGTGGTACCCACTGAACTGTCTGTTTGCTGTCTGTGCAGGAGGACGGGGATAAGAAGAGGGGGATGGAGGGGCAGGATCTGTTTTCCATTCTGCATCAACCTCCTCAACAACCTCTGCCTAACATCCTGTATTCTCAAGATCAGTTCCCACAATCAGGGCCCCACTTCGTGTCTCCTCAAAGCCCTGTCACACTCCATGGTTCAGCGACACTAAACCTGTGTCAGTTCCCCAAACGATCCAAATTCTCTCATGCCTCCCAGTCTCTGCTCTCCAAGGCAGGTGTTCCAGCATCCAGGTGTCTCAGGGATCAGGTGTCAGGGTGGGAAAGGGAGTTGTCAGGGATCAGCTCTCATGGCTGGGGGAGGTATAGGGGGCCCAGCTCTACGGCCTCGGGGGAAAGTACCTATCTACCCATGCCATTACCTCTGCCTGGAACACTCTTCTCTCTCTCTCCTATCCGCCTAGCTTCCCATCGGGGTCTAGATGACTCTTCCTTCAAGAAGCCTTTTCTGACCCCAGGCTGTGTAAGGTAGCCTCCCTCCCTTTCGAGCTCCCAGGGACCCCTGCCCCACTCCCCTCATAGCTGGCATCACACTGAGTTATAGTGGGTAGTTTGTCAGCATTCCTGAACAGGGATTTTGTATATTCTGGTGTACACTGTCACTCTGTATATTCTGGTGTACACCAGCACCCTGCCTGGCATAAGGTAGTCTCTCCATAAATATTTGTCTAGAGAATGAATATGTGACAAAGTGTTCAGCAGCCAGGGGCAATGGTCCATCTATCCATACAAACTCTGACCTCCAGACCAGCCCTCCTCTCTCGCCCCATCGGTTTGGGCCAGGTACAGCCCCAAATGGGCAATCCTGGGGCCACACTTCTCAGGAATCCTGACAGACAGAACTGGGCACCAGAAATGAGAGATGGGAGAGCGCCAAAAGGATGGAAGAGGAGCAGCCAGGGAAGCCAGGGAGATTCAGCATGGAGGAACTCCACCATATTCCCGCAGCCCACATGGGTTACAGGGCCAAGACAACACTGACACCAGGGCGAGTCACAGGGAAGGAGTCTCAGCTCTGAAGGACAAAAGCTCTGTGATCCTTAGGCTGCCCTGGGAAGAGTGAACTTCTCATGCCTGGGAAGAGCCCCAGAGAGGCTGGCCGGCCTCCCGACTATGGCCTCTGAGGGCCTGTCTAGCTGGGAACAAGTCCATGCCACTGGGGTTGAATGGCAGCTAGGATGCCAAACTGAGCATTCTTGCCCAGCAAGAGGAGCGATCATATACCAGATATACCTTATCTGGTAACAAAACCAGGCCTGGGCAGGCCTGGAAAGGGGAAAAGTAGTGAGAGGGCTGTGCCAGCCCCTCCGCACTGAGCTGAGAGCATAGCAGCTTCTTCCTCCCTTCTGCTCCCAGAAGCAAGCGTTTAAAACCTCAGATATCTCAGGTTTTGGGGTCACAAGGAGAGGGAGGGATGGAGATGGTTTGTAAGAACAACTGCTATGGCTGGGAAGTTTGGCTCTGCTGCCTGGGGGAAATTACCAATCCATCATGCACCCATGCATCCATCCATCTAGTTATCCCTGAATCCATTAGACCTTCATCCATCCTCCCACTCACCCAACCATCTACCTATCCATCCATTAAGCCATCTGTCAAGTCAGCCAGCTGTGGATTTCCAAAGGTTCCATCTGTGGATACCCTTTGGACTCTATGCCCTGTGCCTTAGCAGGCAGAGGACAAATATAAGTGTGAAGGGGACACACCATCTCAAATCCTTCTCAGTTCCCAGTGAAGCCAAGTGGAGGCAAGCACAAACCCTCCCTCTGGACCATCAGGAGAACACCCAGATAGGGTAGTGGAGGTGAGGGTGGGATCCCTGTGGAAGGTGCTACCAGGACAGAAGTCCCTGGACACTACCTCCATGACACTGCCACTGAGGGGGTACAGGAACAGGTCCTGTGCTCAATGCCCAGATGCCAATCCCATAATCCTATTTCTGTCCTTCACTGTGTGACTCCAGGCAAGTTCCTTCCTTACTCCTCCCTCCAAGGTCTTAGTTCTCCCATATGTCAGGTGGGGAGGAGTGTGGTTTAATTTTTAAGAGTCTTTCCAAACAAAGACTGACTTTGGGTCTCAGTCTAAACCCCTGGCATTCACACAGGCTGCCCCAGGGTCACACATGCTCAGAAATGTCACTACTTCCTGGGGCCCCAGGGGACCACCCTCTGGGAACAAAGGGGAAGCTAAGGTTCAGGAGGAGAGAAAATAATCCAGAAACCAGGGAAGCAAATGAAGAATTTTGAAAAAGTGTGAATGGCAGACACCAGAGCCCCTAGGGAGCAGGCATGCAGCCCTCCCCACCCTTTCTCCAGCCAGTGCCTTCCCTCCTGGCTTTCTCCCTCCCTCTTTTCCCCATCCTCAGCCATGAAACCCTCCTGGGCACCAGGGTTTATCTCCTTATCTCCCTGTCAGATACATGAGGGCTTAAGCCTAGCAATTTGGGACTTGTCTCAACTCAAACATTCTTAGCACTGTGACTTTATCTAATCAACACATGCTGCTCCCTGTTTCACTGATTCACTGACAAGGGTAACTTCTTTATTTATCCAGAGTCCTGGTGGTCCAGGAGGCTACCTGCCTCCTTGATAATGATGAAGCTGCCAGCTCTCTGAGGAGTGTTGTGGACTCTTAGCTCCCCAATCAGGGAGCCTTGCTGCCTATAGGTAGAAACCTTCCTCTCTAGGGCATATAGCCCCTGCTACAGGTTCAAGGCCAACAGCTGGGTGATACCCAGACCTGACATTTCTGCTCAGGGAACTCCCTGCTTCATAAGTTGACAAAACAAACAAACAAACAAACAATAACAACAACAAAAACTTTGCTGTCCTGTCCATTGATAGAGTTCCCAGGGGAAGAGATGGGGCCTGTCTGTCTCCATTGCCAACACTGCTCTGCACAAGGGCTGACACAGAACAAGTCCCAGCATACATTTGATTAAACATGGAATTGAATACGCCTTTCCCACGATGCCCCTCTACCACTCACACCTGGAGCACATCCAGTTCTCAGGAAAGTGGGGCTGTCTCTGTTACATGGGTATTTGGTCAGAGCCAGGCCCATGAGGTTTTGATCACATTTTCATCATCTCATGTTCAATTTCTTGGTAAGCCCCACCCTCACACTCCCCTTCTCTGGCCTCCGGGAAATTCAGCAACAGCCAGAAAACCTTGGAAATAAAAGTCTCACAAAGGGATAGGACTCCCATCAGGGGAGTTTCCTGTAGGAATAAGCAGGCACCTCTCTGGTCAGAGGACTTCCTCGATGGCCCCTAAGACTTTGTCCACATGGAAGGACATGAATCTATATACCAGCTAACTCACCACAAGTGCTTACCAGGTGTTGGGCACTGCTTCCAGTGCTATTGTCATTCTTATGTTGTGACTGAGGAAACTGAGGTACCAGGTTTGGACAGCTGGTAAAATGGCAGAGCTGGGGGTCTTAGCTGGGCAGTTGGGCTCCAGAACCTGTACTCTCAGCTACTACATAGACTACCTCTCTGAGTTGACCCATCTCCTAAGCAGAAATGGGAAACAATAAAGAAGGGACGAGTCTGAGGAAGCAGCACTCAGAAAATAGGGGAAGTCATTATTTTAGGGTACTAACCATGTGCCAGAGTCCAAGCTGAGTCCTTTAGGTGCAGTATACCATTGCATCCTCAAACAATCCTATGAGGTGGGGATCACTAGCCCCATTCTGTGCATGAAGGAAATTGAGGCATAGAGAAGTAGAGTGATTTCTCAAGTCCACTCAACTGATGAGTGGCAAAGCTGAGATTCTAGCCCAAGTGTGCCTGATGGGTAGCCCTGGGGCTGAGGGCCGAAAACTGAGAGCTGAGATGCCCAGTTGAGTTGGAAAGGCATGGCTTGCTAGGAAGAGCTAGATAAAAGCAAGGGGAGAAGCTGAAGGCCTCGAGCAAGACCCCGGTGCTTGAGCCCAGACACAGAGATGCCCCCTGGAGGACCTCCAACTTTCTGGACCTTTCTAGCAGGAGAGCTGGCTTTCCCAGAGCCTCCAGGAAGAAGTCAGCAGGGGTTCTCACGGTCTTCCCAGGCCTCAGTTTTCCCAAGTGGAGCAGTGAAGAAGGGGATCAGGCTACAACTATGCCTACCTTCTTACCTCCATTCCCAGGGAGTAACAGAAGCCAGGACCTGGTGATGTTACAAGGAAAAGAGAAATGGAGGGGCTGAGATCCGGAGGGTAGAGGTAGGGGCAGGACTAAGGGTCCTGTGGGCAGGGCTTCTGGAAGGAACAGTCCTCTCAGGGGGCCTCTGAGACAGCCTGGTGGGTCCTCTGCAGGGCAGAGCATCTGGAGACTGCAGGGGCAGAATCAGACTCTTAAAGGACCCACTTCTGAGAGCCACTTCTGTCTCCTGAGGGGCCAGAGACAGGCAGGACAGAGGAAGAGGACAAGAGTTAGGGCAGATATTCTGAGGATCAGAGTAGATGGAGGAGTCAGACCTCTGGCCCCACTTCTCTTCCTAGGACCTTTAAGTCTTCACTGTGGCTCCTGTGGGGAGGCAGAAGATATGAGCCACCCTGGCTCCAACCCACTGAAGGAGGATGGCTTTAACCCCAGCAGCTTCAACACTGCCCTCCCGGGACAACCAGATTCCCCAGGGCTCTGGATCTCAGAATCATAGTCCGTGAAGATCTGAACTCAACCATTAAAACTCCAATCACCTTGC